GATGATGAAATCCGGAGCTTAAGGTGATCACATATACAGTATGATGTGACACACTCACTTTATGTCACATCACATGATGATAATGATAATCGACTGAATATACTGTATGAATATGAATGAATAAATGAGTACAAATCCAGTTACAAAGCAAAACAATCGTGCACATACGCTAAAGATTATGATGTTGTGAAAAACTTGTGATGAAATCCGGAGCTTAAGGCAGAGTCCTGCACGGGTCTGATTTTCAAATCCCGCTCCCGCCCCGCACCCGCGACGTGCAATACCGAACCCGCCCCGCTACCCGCACATATTACCAATTAGTTCCGCAACCCGACCCGACCCGTCGGCACAGGATCCGCAACCCGACCCGAACCCGCATATATATGAGCAGTGAAAACGTGCAATTATTAACACACGCATATTTGTCTCAAAAAGCGTGGGATGTTGGTTATTCTCTCCATCTAGGATGACACCAAAAGCCTCCCAGATGTTGGATTTCGCTCTTGAGGAAGAGTTATTGAAAATGCTGTATTCTCCGCTAGAGAGCTTCACCTCAGCCACTCAGAATGTGGCGCGCTCAGCAGCAGATAGATGCGCTGCAGAGGTTATGATTATGCTCGGTCCCGTGGAGGAGAGGTCTGAGGATTTAAACATTAAACTAAATTATTATTATTTAAATATATTTATTATGCAACACCCGCGACCCGACCCGCATCATCTTTGTTTTACCCAGAACCGAACCCGGAAAAAAGTGTTAGAAAAAATACAACCCGCAAATCACCTTTTTTGCGGGTCACCCGTCGGGTACCCGACCCGATGCAGGACTCTGGCTTAAGGTGAATCATAAAGGATATGTTTTTCAAGTTTCTATGGTTAGTAACACTGAGCATAACCAAGTAAGAAAACTGAAGTTTGGGGAATACAGAATCGAGGTAATTCATTTCACACATCTGTGCTTGTGTACACTCCTAACCTTGATGACGATCAACAAGTAGCACAGGCAGATGACCAGCAGGGGGCAGAAGAAGCCCACGGTGCAGGTGTAAACTATAAAAGACGTCTTCCAAACCTCAGCCGGTTCAGGCCATACGATGCTGCAGTTACCGTCGTCCTTCAGCACGTCTGCAAACACCACCACGGGCAGCACCACAACAAACGACCCAGCCCACACCGTGGCACTGACGGCCTTCGCTACACGGGGGCGGCGCCACCAATAAGACCGGATTGGGTGCACTACGGCCAGGTAGCGATCCACTGACATCACCGTTAGGCAGAAGATGCTGGTGAACTGGTTGATGGCGTCCACTGTCATGACCACGCGGCACACTAGCGAACCGAAGGGCCAAGAGAGAAGAGCGTTCTGCACTGCCAGGAAGGGCAAACCTAGCATGAAGAGTTCGTCCGCGATCGCCAAGTTCAGGATGTAGATGTTGGTGACTGACTCGTTCTTGGTGTAGTTGACGACAACGTGGATGACGAGAGTGTTGCCCACGAGGCCAACAACACACACCATACCGTAGATGAGAGGGATGAAGATTCCCGCCAAGCCAGGGAAGGAACTAGGCTCCGGTTTGGTGTCATTCTGGCAACTGCTGTTAAAGAGGAAAGAGCCGTCGCTCGGGGTGAAGCCGAGGAAAGGTTCAGAAGGAGTGGAGAGGAGCAGGAAATGAGAGTTGGTGATCCAGGTAGCTGTGGAGGCTTCCTGAGGCAGCTGGGAGGCCTGGATGAGCTCCATGGAGGCTTTCATCAGGTGACTGATCAGATCCCATCAGTGACGGGTCAACAGCTCTACAAGGAAAACAAAGTTAATAATCATCAATTGGTGTAAGCAATAAATGTGTACGGATGAAGAAAGGGTGAAGAGCTTAGCTTTGACCTAATTTCTAATTGCTGTTGACCATTGCTTGATCTGAAAGATTGACGTAAGGTTACAGCTTTAATATCTTGCTAAACAACGTGCAGAAAGAAACCTGTTATATAATAAGTGAGATAGCAAATTGCAAAGAATCCAACATTAGCAAACACATGAATAGAGCATATTGTTTCTACAAAATAGTGTTGACAAAATAGATAGACTTCACTGCCATATAACAATATATACAATTTAAATCAGGATATGCATGTAGTGTTAAATGGCTGTGACAGCGAGTGATACAGTTTAGTCCAATCTCTGACCAGTGAAGCTAGAATACTAAACCACTAATCAACCTAACCACTCTCCTTCCGTCACAACAAAAACAAGCCTTCGCCGGAACAAAAACACAACCTATTCACTTCTATTAGTACGAGACTTGTTTATGAAGCCATCCCGGGTTCTTAATAACTACCGTGCCGCACGCAGGCACACCCCCATCCCTCTCAGCGATGGTTAATAATTGGTATTGCGTTAGGAACAAAATGTACTGAGCGATGGAGTAAAATAACAGAAGCCTGTCCTCCACAACCTGGACTTAAGTGCATTAATGGGGAGGTGAGGATAGCGGTGAGAGAAAAGGGGAATAAGGCAGGAGGAATCATTTACAGCACTGCGGGATACAGGGAGAAATTATGAGGTATAACATTTAAGAAAAAAATCAGAGAGGATATACATCAACAAGAGAGAAGGATGTAAACAGTGTTCAAATAAACAACCTGTGTGATTTGTTTAGGCTTAAAGGTGGGGTAGGTACGTTTGAGAAACCGGCTCGAGATACACTTGTTGTTATATTCCATGGAATGCTCTTAACATCCCGATAGCAATGAATATCTGAAGTGCTTTGACAAAAAATCCTTAAAAAAATCTCATCTGTGGAAGCCGTGGCGCTGTAAAAAGCACGACCAATCATCTGAGCCGGCCCGGCTAAAGTAACTGGATGGCCTACCTGCCTGTCAGCCTTCCATCTGTGCACAAACTTATCTCGTGCCCTCATTGGTCATGTGCGCGTTCGTGTGTGTTGGAGGAGGGGCTCTGTAAGGAAGTGGCAGATTTTCTCCGGTCGTGTATTTTCAAATTCTAGCGACCTCGAGCCGGTTTCTCAAATTTACCTACCCAACCTTTAAATGTTGAAACAAAAATAAATGGGAAAAAAAAGGCATTTAATTGTCTTGGCTGGATTTAAACTTAAGGCGAGACACGGCAGGCAAAAACATCGTTTTTCAAGCACTGGTCAATTTTGAGATTTTGTGCTATTTTGATTCTATAACATGTTTTCTT